GCCCAAGGACACAACGACCGAGACTGTCCAAGCCGGGGCTCGAACCAGCAACCTTCCGATTACAAGGCGAACTCCCAACTCTTGAGCCACGATCGCAAGATGATGAGCAGGAGACATCATCTGAAGATTGAGTCGTAGGCCTCCACAGTTAGAAACTGCAGCAGGTAACAACAAAGGAGCCAGCACCACCTGCACACTGTGGACCCTCTCTCTGCTCATTTTTCGTGTGTTACAGTATGAATTTGGATTTTATTGTTTCCTGCTGCCTCCTTTCCTGTTGGATTGTATCTACAGAGAAGAAATAAGTGCGTCTTCAGGCCTCGATGTGCTCGTTCTCCTCTTTAATCTCGCTTCTTCCAAAGAGAGTCAAATCAGCATTAGCTCAGAGTTTAATTAGATAAATATGATGATTGATGATGATGATTGGTAATTTATTTCAACATGTGAACAATATACAAGTACATTTAGAAAAGAAATAAGAGAGAAAAAAAATACTATACAAATTACATACAAAAAACCATTCTGATTAATTTACATGTTGAAAGGGAGTGGGAAGAAGTACTTATTTAATCCCACCCCTGTCCCATAAATTATCAGTGAATATTTAGTCAGCTTCCTTACTGATATAATTTGTAATAAAAATAGTGAACAGATTTCTGATATACTATATACTATAATATCACATCATGAATTTTTTGTTTGTTTGTTTGTTTGTTTTTAAATAGAGACATTCACTTAATTTAAATATTTTCCTTTTCTTTATAGATCGAGAAGAATATAATTCAAGTGATTTGATTATTTCACTTTGTGAAACAGTACAGACAAAAACCTGAGTGTTATTATTCATTAGGATGAACAAGTCCTACAGGTCACTCCAGGCTTTAAAGGAAGCAGACACTTTTCCTGTTAGTTACAACAGTGACTCAGTTAAACAAACGCCGACAAGCTCAACACCTGTCGGCATTCTTAACGGGGAGACAGAACACCTGTCACTTGTTGAAGAGTTATTCGTCTGCTTTGCTGTGCTTGAAAGAGCGAGAGCAGAATATTAAATGCGAGTTATCTCCCCAGACTTGAGCTGTCACAGAATCAGTGTTTGTTCTGCACAAGCTAGAAGCTGCCGTGACATTTACAAATAAACAAGATTAAATGTGTTTCCACCTAAAAGACTTTCATTAAATTATCACACTAACTGTGACTAACTGCAACATTTCACCCTTTCACACTTAGATCTGAAATAGTCGAGGTTCAGACGTTCAGTGGACCATGAAGCTTGTTTGTAACGTACGCTGCTGGGATCTTGTGATGTGAGCTGTTTGACTCTCAGGTTTTGTTTCCACTGAGCCTGCACGCCTTTGTTTATGAGATATTTCCACCAGACATGGAAATGGGGAAATAAATCGCATTTGTCTCAGTAATTGCTAATACATTAGTGGATGTTCTCATGAACTTCACACTGTTCTGCTGATGTGCTAAAAATGATTCTGTTTTTCTGTGTACCTTTGCTCACAGAGGGAATTTGAAGGGTTTATATATATAAAAAAAGAAATGACTTATTACTAATTATCTTTGTGACTTCATGACTTTATTCCTGTGCTGTTAAGCAGCTGTAAATCTCTTGATAGTACTGTGATGTTTCCTCCGCCCCTTTAGTGAAATCTTTTTTGAAAAATACATTTTTAATGTCAATTAACTTTTTTTTAATGAAAGTGAAACAGTGGTAGCAGCTTCGACCTTTGACCTTGCCTGTTCTTTCTGACTCATCTTCAAGTATTCATTAGAGACACGTCTGGAAATGATTTTACATTAAGTGATTCACAATAGTTCAAATATGGAAAATCTATGTTGCCGAGCAGAAATGCCTCTTTGGTTAGACTGAGGATGAACTCACCTGATGCCTGAATAGACTTTCTGTTAAATGTAGAGAAAAAGAATAGACTTGAATTACAGCTGAATTACTTCCCGTTTTTCTCTTTGGAAGCACAGCTGGTTTCTGTGGAGGTGCTTTAATGAATTTGCAGTGCGGTGTGCTGCTCGCTCTGTTGGTAGAAGTTAGTGGCGCTCACCCAGCATCCTTTTCCCAATCGTGTTTAGAAACGTGATCAAATCCGACGTGTTGGCTGATACTGTCGTCCAGCCGTATTCACACTTTGGATTCTGGTATTTCGGTGGATGGATATCCTGCACGAGTCGTCACAGTCCACAGCAAAAATCATGATTTTCTTTTATACGTGTGTGTACTCGTAATAAACAGACATACGACTCACATATTCAAAGCTCAAATGACTTTGATTTGTAAAGATGAGAATCTTGGCACCTCAAAGCAACAGAGGCGTGAAGACACGAGCATCCAATCACAAATCAGCCTGGACCAGTATCCACCTGTAAAGATGTTGCTCTTTAATTACAAAACTGTGTGACGCAGGCAGACAGAGCGCTCAAACGGCTCCGTCTCCTTCAGATGGTCTTAATAATGTTTAGGTTTGATATAGTGGATTGTTTCTACGCGAGCCCATGAACCCGCCCAGCACCAGGTCAGTGAGCTCGCTCTGCAGCTCACAGACGGGAACAAGTAACGTCTGACTACAAAGGTCAAGGAGCAACTCTGGATTTACAGCAGTGTCAGAGGAACTGTTCAGATTCTTCTGCAAATATGCTAATACTAGATTAAAACATTTTTAGAAATACTCATGCAACTTCACTGCAACCAAGTATAAGAATGGCACATAAGGAAAAATACTGGAGAAAAAAAGTCCTCAGTTTATTTGTGCTCAGAGTTTAAAAAGTGAAATACAGCACACAGTGGAACAGTGCACAGAGGGTTGTTCAAGTCAACCTCATAAAATCTACAGTTTAAAAACACTTTATGCAGTAAAAGATTCTCCACAGTTGATTTGAATCCAGGGAATATTGTTCAGAAAGTGCAAACTGCAAAGACAAATACAGTTTCAATTCTTTAGTTTTCTACCAACAGTGACGCGGGGATGTGTTTATAATAAGTGTAACACACAAAAAGAAGACGTGGAACATTTGTGTGATCAATAGATGAGTAACAGAGATTCAAACCAGAGCAAAGGATGGAGGACGACGCAGAACTGCTCCGTAAAAACACCTAAATGTCAAATATTAAAGAAAATCATAGCCTCAGATTTTGCTCATTTCCAAGTTGAACAGAAAGTTTTCTGTTGTGAAACGAACAGTTGACATTCTGCTCGTCTCTACAGGGACGTTCTTCAGGTCATTAGAAATATGGGTTACACAGTCACACCCATTACCTGTCACCTTATTCTATGCAT